CGGGCCGGGAGCCCCGGAAACGCCCAGAGGCCGTGGCAACCACCGCGCCGAGATCCTCTGCTGGAGACAGGCCCGGCGGGGCTGGTGGGGCCGGCGGGGCCCCCTCTGCTCACGCGCAGGCGTCGATCGGAAGGGTCAGCTGCAGTGGGCCTACGGACACGGGTGGGCAGGGCCGCAAGTGGGCTGTGGGCAGGAGGGAGGCCGGACCGGCCACACCCACGGGCCCGAGACAGGAGCCCCACAGGGGCCCAGAGGCCCAAGACGGGCGGCAGGCGGCGGCGGCTATAGCCCAGCGCGGCACGGGGCCGGCAGGGTCGGGTCAGTCTGGGGCCTCCCCGTGGCCACGCGGCCCCAGGGGAGCCACCCTGGGGTGTGTCTTACAAAGGAGACGGGGCCGCCGCCCCCCCAGATGGCGTCAGGGTCACCCGGAGCCTGGACAGCACCGGCCCGGGTCACGGTCGCCACTGGCCCCGGGGGCGGTGTCAGAGACACCCGGTGCCCACAGCTCTGGGCGAGGTGGGGCGACTCGGCAGCAGCAGCCCTGGGAGGTGCCGGGTGGGCGTCGGGCTCCCCTCGGGGGCGGCCGCAGGACCGGGCGCCGGCCCTGCGGAGGCCTGTGGCTGCCCCCTCCCGGGGCGGCTGCTGGCACTGCTTCTCCTCTTTCTTCCAGGCGGAAGCGACCTCTTTTCCTCAGGGCCTGCAGTGTCGGCTCCTTCTCCGTGGGGGGCTGGTGTAGTGTCCCTCAGAGCCCAGGGGCGCTGGCTTCTCTCCTCTCGGGAGCCCCGTCCACACGTCTGCTTGGACGTTTTCCTGACGGCACGAGTGAGCCATCCGCCCACACACCTGGCTGCTCCCTTCACAACCCAGGAGGTGTGAGCTGCACAAACGGGCTCCGGAACAGCCGCCGCCGGACTTGTGGAGACCAAAGTCGAGGGACCACTGTGCACCCATCGGCTCGCGGCTCGCTCCCGCTTGGCGCGGTCCAGGCCCGGCGGTGCCCGCGCCGCAGAGCCTGAGGAGCAGCTGGCACAACTCGCAGGGAGCCCGGGGTGGCTCCCGCTCCTGCCGCCCCCGCCGCGACGGCCATGCCAGTCAGGTGACCTAAATGCAGGCCCGAAAGCGACCCTGTGAGCAGATGTGGCCCCTGGGTCTGACACCACAAGCGGGAGCAAGGAAAAGACAAACCGCAGTTGAGCGTCCTGAAAGTTTCAAGGTTTGTGCACCAGCGACCACGTGGAGGCTGAAAACAGCCACTTTCTGTGATGGGGCCGGAGAAGGAGCTGCCCAGCGAGGCCCGAGCCCCAGAAGGCAGCCGACGCTCCTGACGCTCGGCAGCCGGAGACCGAGGGTGGACGCGGCGCTGCTGGCCGGGAGGCAGCCGCAGGGAGGGCCGGGGACACCCGCCGTGTGGACGCCCAGGCGGAGGGGCTGGGCTGAGGACAGAGTCCACCTCAGATGAGCGACAGGCGCGGGCAGTGGCGCCGGATGCCCGATGGGCTGCGACAGCGGTTGAGCTGTGGCCCCCGCGGTGTCCGGCCGCAGCATCTCTCCAAGCACTCGGGACCCACCTGCGCGACCGGCTCCCGCTGCTGGCCACTGGCAGGTGCCCGCCCCGCGCCCCACCGTGGCTGCCTCTCATCCACCCAGCAGGCGACGGGGCGCAGCCCACCCCATGAGACCCGGAGCCACGGCACCGAGGCGCGGCCCCCGAGAGCGGAGACCCGCTCGCCCGCAAGGCGGCAGCCGCCGGGGCCAGGCCAGGCCCCTGCAGACAAGGGCACAGCCCTGCACTGAGTGTCCCTGGGCTGGGCAGAGGGACGCTCCCACGGCTCGACGGGCCTTGAACCACCGCCGGAGAGGCCGCACGTCAGCTCTGTGAGCCGGGGCCCGGGGCCAAGCCAGCCCGGTTCTCAGTGGGGCGGGGGGTGGGGAGGCTGGCGTTCGGTAGGTGAAGGCTTTGTGCTTGTGACAAACAGCCGACAGCGGCTCCCCCAGTCAGGACACCAAGTGTCCAGGGCGGAGCGACGGGCACCGGCCAGGCCCGCGCCCAGCCTCCCGCCGGTGGGGCCACAGGCTGGCCTGACCCCGGGTGGGGTGCGGCTCGCCCCAGGCGGGCGAGCTGTGAGAACAAAACCCACGACGTAGCACACAACGAAAAGCACGTTTTAATCGTGAGACAGGACCAGAAGTCACGGGGACGTCCCTGAAGATGAGACTGCGCACGGGAGTAAGGAGCCCTCAGGGCGGAACACGGCGCAGAGAACGACACAGGGAGTTAGGTGAAAAGTCTGACGAGCAAGATGAGCCGACGGGACGCGGGCCTGGCCCCGTCAGCCCAGAAGCCCGAGCTCAGCTGGCCCGGGGGGTGCCGGGGGCTGCGGTGCCGCCTACCCTGCCCGAGACGCAGCCGGCCAGCACGCGGGCAGCGGGCCTCACGGCCACCCAGACGGTGTGCCGGGGCCTGCCCAGGGCCAGCGGCACCCCTGGGCCCACCCGCTGGTGCCGCCTCGTGGGGGACAACCGGGCCCACGCTGGCCGACAATCGACGTGAGGGTGAGCCTAGCCAGCCTGCGCCCTGCGGGCGACGGCCCGTGCGCCCTAGCTGGTGGCCAAGGCCGACCGTGCCGGGCTGGGGTGTCTCGTGCACGCTCCGCCAGGTACAACAAAGTCAGCTGCTTTATTTAAAAGAAACGTGACAGGTAAGTGTGCAAAATTAACCTTGCGATGAAGGACAGACGGGGACATGCAGACGGGCGCTGGCCAGGCCCGGCCGGCCGCTGGAGGGGTGCTGGCGGCCGGGGGCCCAGACCGGTCGTCTGAGGAGGGGAATGCCGCCTCGGC